AAATCATAGTATTTGCATGGTGTTGTTGTTGTTGTTGTTGCTGCTGTTGCTGTTGCTGTTGTTGTTCAAAGCAGGGTGTTTAATGACCATACAATCTGGTATATCATTTCCGGAGTAGTAAACTTTTTTTATTGATATGCCTGAGAATTGCAATATTTCAGCAGAAAAACAAGCAGCAGTTGTCCAACACAACAAATATATATATCTATACTAGTGGTGGCCAAAATATTAGAACAAATTGTGAATCATGAAGTGGGGCTGCTCCAGACTTTCATGGCTTGTCCACAACGTCTCAGAGCATTTCAGCGAATCAGATGTTCAAAAAACAAAAAGAGAGTGTTTTCCAAAACTGAAACATTTATCTCTAAGCTTGCTGTATATAAAAGCATTAGGATGGTGGGAGCAAAATCTCTTTTGTAACTGACAGGTCTAGCTTCTAAGCATATGAATGAACTTACCAAGGTTGTCCAACTGCAGTGCTTTGGGGAGAGGACATTGAAATAACGTATCACCTTGTTCTTGTTTGTTCTGTGCTTTGACATTTATGCTAGTGGCGCTTGCCTGGAAATGGTGGACATTCAAGTTATTCTTCTTCTGTGCCGCCTCCATTCTTGTCAAGTCAGACTGGCACTCAGTCTGTGACGTGGTGCAAACTGAGCAGGATATAAGCCTGAAGCTGTTGTTTCTGTTCACTCTTTGGTCCCTGAACCCATCCTTCTGAAATTTTGCAGCTTACCTTCCTAGGAGCACCTTTTGACGTCTGCCATTTTCATAGTAAAGTCACTGCCTGCAAAGGGCAGGAGGGGAAGCTAATGCGTTTTAGTTCTTCCCACCTCCAAAACCAGCATTAAAGATCCAAATGGGAGAGGGGTGGAACTAGGCATTGAAAGTGCCAGGAAACATGATGGCAAAGACAATGGGAGAATGATACCCTGTATAGGTGTTGATATGCTACTGCTAGATGCCTGTGAGCCCAAATGGGCAAACTGGAGGGCTTGGTTTTAAAGGAGAGCCTAGAGGTGGTGGCACATTTTAATTTCTGGTTAAAACACTATGGGGAGGACAGGGAAGGGGCTACTGGAGGTGATGTAACTCCCGTCAAAGGGGACACAGAGACCAGCGTGCTAGGAATGCCGAAAGAGACAAACTCCTCCGCATAAGTTGCTGTGGGTGGCAAAACCTGACTCTAACAGTAGTTCCCCTAGCCCAAATGCCCTGGTGATTTTGAGTTGGAGAATGGAATCAAGGCGGCATCCAAAGGAGAAAGCGCTGCAATAATAGCAGATTCATTTAAAATGGGTGCATTCACGATCTAATCAACAGCAAAGACGTAGCATTTGCAAAAACGCTAAATGATGAGAACATTTGGTCATGGGACCAAACAGTGGGATGGCGACTCTGAATTTAATCTCAAGTGGTGCCCAGGACTTGGTCTGATATGCAAGTGAACTGGTTGAAACAGTGATTACAGTGCTACCAAATTCGACATAGAAGGGTTCATAGAGTTGGAAGAGACCATGAGGATCATCTAGTCCAACCCCCCTGTGATGCAGGAATCTTTTGCCCAATGGGGTGGGGGGGGGCATATATGTAACTGGACAATTGCCAAGAAAGTTCAACACAGTCACATTTGACTTCGTACAAGGAAACTTCCCGAAAATTAAAGAATTCATAAAATCATAGAGTTGGAAGGGACCATGGGGGTCATCAAAGTCCAACCCCTGCCATATAGGAATCTTTCACCCATGTTGGGTCTTACACCTACAACTCTGAGATTAAGACTTTGAGTCTCATGCTCTACCAAAGAAGGAAGGTGAAAGACAACATTAAGAGGGTCAGGTCTCTCCTGAATGCTTGGGAGTTGTTTAAAACCAAAGCACCAGAAACACAACTGAAATGTACACCACAGATCAGGAAAGGGAGCATTGGGGCCAAGAGGATGTTACAGGGGTTGGCAAGCCAAGTCAAAGGAACTTTGGGAGGCCAGAAGGCTTCCTTCAGAAAATGGAAGTCTTGTCCAAACGAGAAAAACAACAAGCAATGTAAACTTTGGCAAAAGAAATGCAAGCAGACTAGGATGTAGAAAAAAGTATTCAAAGAACACATCGCTCAAAACAGGAAGACCAACAACAATTTTTTAAAAATGCATTAGAAACAGGAAACTAGTTAGGAAGATAGATAAGGCCATTGGAGAACAAGGGAGTTGAAGTTGTGCTAATGGAAGAAAAAGGGACTGCAGAGAAGCTTAATATGTTGTTTGCATCTGTCTTCTCAGCAGGTAGGGCAGATCCCTGTGCCTGAACTAACTTTCGCAGGAAGGGAGTCTGAGGGGAATAATGACAAAAAGAGGTGAAATTATAGGCCCAGTTGAGAAATAAAAAACTGAGAAATCACCACTTCCAGATGGCAACAACCTAAGAAAAACAACAACACAAATGTGAAATTTGCTCATCTTCTAACAAATTTATGCAGCTTATCCCTAAGATCAGCCTCCCCTCTTGAGGACTAGAAAGTGACCAATTAATCAAGATACTGCAAAGGATAGAATAAATTGTTGTTAAATCCTTTAGTTCAGCCATTGCTTTTTTTAGCCAATACTAAAAAATATTAAAAATATTAAGATATTAAAAATACTAAATACATTGGGATTTAGCTTTAGCTCTTTCTTTCTGTTCAGTGCCGCACGATTCATATGGGTACATCTAACATGTTTTGTTGGGAAGTAGCATTTAGTAGAATCACCTACAAGGCAGAAATATTGTTTGAATTAGAACATCAAGTCATGGAAAACTTTACTAGTTAAATGCAATTTAAGGGGGGGAAATATAAAGAGCCTTAAGGAGACTTGCCATTCAGGAGACATTCTTCTCTCAACCTCAAAGGAAGTAAAAGGTCTCTCCTTTCTCACAGTGTTTTACCAAGAGATGTTTATGGGTTGCATCTAACCAATCCATTCTCAGTGTCGACCAGGCATAGGCAACCTCAGCCCTCCAGATGTTTTGAGACTACAATTCCCATCATCCCTGACCACTGGTCCTGTTAGCTAGGGATGATGGGAGTTGTAGTCCCAAAACATCTGGAGGGCCGAGTTTGCCTATGCCTGATGTAGACGCACAGAAAGTGATGGACCTAAGCTAGTTAAGTAATTTACCGTATTTTTCGCTCCATAGGGCGCACCGGATCATAGGGCGCACCTAGTTTTTTTTGGGGGGGGGATAAAGAAAACTCCCATTGCGCTCAGAAGGCTGCCCAAAGCCTGGAGAGGGAGAGGGGTCGGTGCGCACCAACCCCTCTCGCTCTCCAGGCTTCAGCCAAAGCCTGCATTCGCTCCATAGGACACACACACATTTCCCCTTCATTTTTGGAGGGGGAAAAGTGCGTCCTATAGGGTGAAAAATACAGTAAGTGCATTTATTTCCATAAACCTACTCTGCATATGACTGAGGCTGGATACACACTATACCTTTAAAAAGTGTTTTTCCTTTTTCTAGGAAAAAAGGTGCTCACCATGAAGTTGTTACAGCAAGTGCCACACTTTTAATGGTTTTTTTGTTTTGTTTTATGTTTGTTTTTGGAGGGGGCAGGTATCCTTGAGTACCCCCAGAAAACAACAACACTGCCTTTAAAGCACATTAGAAGCGCATCTCCCACCTCAAAGAATTCTGGGCCCTAAAGTTCACCCCACAAAGAGTTACAACTCCCAGCAACCCTTAACAAACTACAATGCCCAGAATTCTTTGAGGGAAAGCTTTGGATGTGCCTTAAAGGTACCCTGTGTGAACAACCCTATCTGCATGAGAGGTTACTTACTTCTGCATGCCTGAAAACCTTATCGCAAAATTAAAGAGGTGTTTATGAAACCTCTGTGACATAGTGTGGGTTGCTAGCACCCGGGGCCACATGGAACAGTGGGTGGGATGAAGAGAAATGGATGAAGGGGGTCCACTTCCTGGTTTGCATGGAGAAGCCATTTTCAATGGAACCCCGCAAAAGAAACATGCAGCTATATTGAGGCAGCACCAGGTGTTGAAGAAGAAGAAGAGTTTGGATTTGATATCCCGCTTTATCACTACCCTAAGGAGTCTCATAGCGGCTAACATTCTCCTTTCCCTTCCTCCCCCACAACAAACACTCTGTGGGGTGAGTGGGGCTGAGAGACTTCAGAGAAGTGTGACTAGCCCAAGGTCACCCAGCAGCTGCATGTGGAGGAGCGGAGACGCGAACCTGGTTCCCCAGATTACGAGTCTACCGCTCTTAACCACTACACACACTGTTAAAATTTTGCTCCCCCTAACAATTTTGCACCCAGGGCAACCACCCCTGTGCCCCCCCCACCACCACGCTACACCACTGGTGCTTGGGACTTAATTGTTGAATTTCACACAAGGGGTTTAGTACATCAGACTTGTATGAAGAGCGGCAGGTCTCACTGTTCCTGCATGAAACCAGTGGCTAAAATAAGAAAATGCTTTCATACATTAAGTCTGACTGCGGTGATTAGTGTTGTGGGGGAATGACCTCACAGGAAAGTAGTGTTCAGTGAGCTAAGGGAGGTGGTCACAGAAGAGAAATCATAGGGTACATCATGAGAAAACATGTTTATTACCCAGTAGACAATATGGAAGCCAGCAGTCGGTGCTACAGGGGAGCTACTTTATAAAGGATTTAGCTAGTGGCTTGTGCTTTGCCTCTGGGTTTCCAGTTTCTGCTCTTGACTTAAGTACTTCACACCCACAGCAAAGATTGCAGAAGACTTTGATGCCCTCTTGCCTCTCCCCAAAGTGCTAAAAGATGCCCCCCATGTTAGGCTTGCCAGAGAGAAACTAGGAGCCCCTAAAAAGAGCAGCTGAGATCTTTGGGAAGCACGTTGACAAAGAATAGTTTTTATTCTTTTGAGCCCAGCTCTGCGCTTCCTTCAAGTGTTAGGGTGTTCCAGGGGCAGATGCAAGAAAGTCTGTTTCCCTGAGAGGAGAGAACACTGGGGAATTATTTGTGACATCTGTTTATGAGCACCGTTCAGGCGGGGGCGTAAGTACCCAACAGACACTGCTAATCTGCAAGGCACCGTACATTCTGCAAAGCAAGCAACATGCCCCATGGAATAGCGTCCTCCTCTCACAAGTATGAGCTTTTGAGGAGCTCATCCTCATAACGGGGGCAAATGGTTAAATTCATCCTTACCTGATGCGATCCTGATAAGTATCTGCATTAAAATAAAATAGCTGACTGTTGACTTCAAAGGCACATTTTACATCATACCTAGTCCCCACCCCCTTCTGTTAGCATCCATCTGTCTTGAGAGACAATGGAGGAGTGCACCTTCAGGAGGGAAGTCAAACCATTGGAGAGTTACAGTGACTGTTGTGGCTGTGGAGACCGATAGGGGAGAGACATGTTTTATTGCAGCTGGGGCAGACAAAGGCATCTCTTTTCGCTGGTGCAGATGCACTGTAGCATTTCTCCCCTCTGCACTCCTCGCAGCAGTTGTTTCTTCTCTGGATACTGTCTGTCTCCAGGCATTGTGTTTGTCTGCAAGGGATTCCCACACGCCAGGGTTAAGGTTAAGGTTGCCACGGTGATCTTATGGGTGTCAATAAACCTTCTGCAAAAACAATGGGTGTCCGTCAAGCTCCTGACAGGCCGCAACAGATAACTGGTGCACTGCATTTGATCTGGTGGCTCACAAGTTGTATGTTTAAGTTGTATGTGGTGAGCAAGTGCCGTCTGGTTTCTGAATCATAACACATGATTTGAATAACAGAAACGCATGGGAAGGGTGAAAATTTGACCAGGCTTGGTGTGTTGTGAAGTCACACAAAGCTGTGTATGAGAGCAGAAGGGACCACACCTCACCCTCCACACCACCCCGCCCCACAACACTTGTGGTTTGTGTTTATTAGGCCCAACAGAAGCAAGTATTAGACGTTTGGGAGTTGGATTTCCCCCTTAAAGCCAACCCTGAACACTTCACTACATTCTGGAGGTTTGAATGTGTTTTCCAAGCACATTCTCTTCTCTCTTTTACCATCCCCACAACCCTTTGGCCAAAAACCCCATCTTACACATAAACATGTTTTTACGAGATTAATAATAATAACTGCTAGCCTTTTGCTACCTGGCCATATTGCCAAAGCAAATGTTGATTCTGTTTTTAAAAAATGAAGTTAAGAATGCTGCCTGTCTCAAATTATCAAAGTAGCCCCTTGCCACAGAAATGCTGGTGTGATTCTTCAGTTGTTGGATTTGGAGTTGCAGTAGGACCATCAAAGAGCTTTTAAATGAAGAGGAGGGGGGAACCACAGCATAAGTGTGGCTTTGTCACCCAGCTTCTGGAGCTCATCAGTTGTCAAGTCTGAGCTTAAATTTAGAGGTGGTTGGGATCTGAGTGTTTCCTTTGCACGGCCTCAGGCCCACACCAAACCACCCTCCCTTGGATTATGTACAGATGGTGGCCAGTGATGGCGGTCTACTGTCTATCAAACTGTCTTCCTCCAAAGCAAAACCTTCAGTGACTCGTCATCATGACATGGTTGGCTCTTAAAATGGATACCCAGTAATATCTGTTCGTGGTTCCATCCCCTGGTTTTCTTATCACATGCACTTCCTCTACCCATATATACTTCTACACACACACACACACACACACACACACAGACACGGACACACTGAAACAAGACCTTTTAGGACCTTTAACATTAGGGTCGCAGAACTTCACAGAGAAATGAGGCCCATCAAAATGGGGAAATGAGCAAAGAGGCAGCAAAAAATATAGGGAGAGGAAGAAGAATTAGTATTGGCTAAAAAAAGCAATGGCCGGGCTAAAGCAATAGAGAAGGTTAAGCGCTTGCAAACACTCCATAAGAGGCACAGGAGCGAACTCCTAGGGGCTGAGGTCCCACTAGAATATTTGAGAGGGCTGGGCCTTGTGAAAGTTGATGGGCACCGCTATTCAAATGGTGTGTGTGTGTTGTGATCAATTATGCAGGGCAGGACTCAACTCCACACACCCCAATAAGAGGTAAGAGAAAGGACAACTGGAGGGTTGTGGTGAGCAATGAAGGTATAAAAGGAAGGGAGTGAGAGGCTTGAAGGAAGGATCCACAGTGACAGTAACAACTCACTGGTGGCCAGAGCAGCCCATCCTGTTTTGCCACCTAAGGTCCCCCTGCGGCAACCCCTGCTTGCCAACATCCCCCACTGAAGCCCCACTAAGTGGGCTTGTGCAGTGGCAGCTTCCAGCAGATCTCACAAGAGTTCCAAGATCTCATGGGATCTCACCAGAAGGAAAGCAATTCCCAACCTGATGATAACAGAATAAATGATGTAGGGAGGGAGCTATGGCCCAACACAGGAAAAGAGGTAGCGAGGGAACACCTAGCTACTTTAAATGAATTCAGCTCTCCAGGGCCTGATGAGCTGCATCCAAGGGTACTAAAGGAGCTTGCGGGTGTAATCTCAGAGCCTTTGTCTATTATCTTTGAGAATTCTTGGAGAACAGGTGATGTCCCTGCAGACTGGAGGCAGGTAAGTGTTGGCCCCATGTTCAAAATGGGGGAAAGCTTGACAACGATACCAGAAAAGGTCCTAGAACAGATAGTCTGTGAGCACTTAGAAAAGTATGCTGTGATTAGTAAGACCCAACATGGGTTTCTCTAAAACAAGGCACGTCAGATGAAACTCTTTTTTTTAATGAAGTAACCAGCTTGGTGGATCAGGGGAATGCTGTGGACATAGTGTATCTTGATTTCAGTAAGGCTTTTGACAAAGTCCCCCATGATATTCTTGCAAGGAAGTTGGTAAAATGTGGGTTGAACGAAGTAGCTGTCAGGTGAATTTGTAGCTGTTTGGCAGACTGAACCCAAACAGTACTCATTAATGGTTCCTCATCACCCTGGGGAAAAGTGACAAGTGATGTGCCGCAGGGTTCTGTCCTGGGCCTGTTATTGTTCAATGTCTTTATAAATGACTTGGGCAAAGGAATTGAAGGGATACTCATCAAATGCAGATGACACCAAACTGGGAGGGGTAGCTAATGCCACAGAAGACAGAATAAGAATTCAAAATGACCTTAACATATTGAAGAACTGGGCGCAAGCTAACAAAATGAATGTCAGTAGGTACAAATGTAAGGTTCTGCACTTAGGCAGGAAGAATCAGATGCACAAATATAAGATGGGGGCACCTGGCTTACTAGCAGTACATTCTAGGCTGCATCAACAGAAGTATAGTGTCCAGATCAAGCGAACAAAATACAAAAAATCCATCCAGTAGCACCTTAGAGACCAACTAAGTTTGTTATTGGTATGAGCTTTCGTGTGCATGCACACTTCTTCAGATCAAGGGAAGTAATAGTACCACTCTATACTGCCTTGGTCAGACCACACCTGGGATACTGCATCCAATTCTGGGCACCACAATTTAAGAAAAATGTTGACAAGCTGGAACGTGTGCACAGGATGGCAACCAAGATGATTAAAGGTCTGGCAACCAAGCCTTATGAAGAGTGCTTGAAGGAGCTGGGTATTTTTAGCCTAGAAAAGAGGAGACTGAGAACAGATAGGATAGCCATCTTCATATTTCTTAAGGGCTGTCACATGGAAGAGGGAGCAAGCTCATTTTCTCCTGATCTGGAGGGTAGGATCAATGGTTTCAAGTGACAAGAAAGGAGATTCCAATTAAACATACAGAAAACCTTTCTGTTAGTAAGAGCTGTTCAACAGTGGAACAGTCTCCCTCGGGAAGTTGAGGACTCTCCTTCCTGGGAGGTTTTTAAGCAGAGGTTGGATGACAATTTATCATGGATGCTTGAGCTGAGATTGGACTAGATGACACTTGGGTTCCTTCCAACTCTACGATTCTTATTGTGTTGACTGTTCATAATTGCCTAGTTAATGTTAAGGATAATTTTCCAATAAGGGAGTGCCTTAAGAAGTGGAATGCCCTGTTGGATCATCTTTGGATGCCATCACAATATAGTTCCATCCATGATTTATAATCTGAACTGAATCCATGGGGGAAGCTTTTCCTCCTGAGCTATTCACTTCCAACGCCGGAACAGTTTGTTACAAGCTTTTGGATACCACTAGGCCACAAGAACCAGAGTGTTGGAAGCACTTCAAAGTCTTAATATTAGGCAGCTGCTATCCTGTCTGTACCATTTTGTATGGGAAAGGGATGACAGTGGTTGGAACCAGGGCAAAACCTAGAATTTCTACCAAGTTCCATTGAGCTGTGACTAATTTCTCCAACCACAGAAGGTTTTGGAAGCCTTCATCTCCTGCCTCATTTAAAAACTAGTCTAGACACAACACCAGTAAAAGCACCAAAGAGAACAATTCTACCCAAGTCAGGAGATTAGCTTGACTGGTTTATTGGCTTTCCCTTTTCTAAACTATTGTGAAAAGTAGTGGGAGCATCAGCCTTTTGCAGACATTTAGAACGAGACACAATTCGATCACTTTTTGAGCTATCAAGTATATTGAGCTATTAGGAAACCCACTACAAGCTTCACACAACAAGGTATTTATAAATATCTACTTGTATACATTTTTGTAAACATTGGTTGGAGTTCTGCAGTGCAAAATTTGGAGATGTCTAAATTTTGGAGGATGACTGTTTTTTGGTTCTCATATAGTTTTGGAAAGTGCAAATTTCATAGATGCGCTTTTAAATGCAAGCTGAATCAAATTTCTTCCCTGCTCCTACTCTCGAGTCATATGGCAACTCTGATTCCTAATGAAAATTCCTACAATTAAATGTATAAATTAACATAAAGGAGGTTTTGTGTTGCAGTGGCACATAGAAATTCAGCTACATAATGAAATGTACTGTAAATACATAAGCTAAACTTACAAATGGGGCTTATGTACAAACCTGTGTACAGTGACTTAATCATGGGTGCTCCTTTGGACCATCTAAGGTAGTTCCAGCAGAGAGGAGGTGGTGGGAAAAGAGGGTTGTTTTCCGTCTCTTCTCCTCCAGCCATTTGTAAGGAAAAGAAAGAAAGAGGAAACATCAGGTGCCAATTCCTGTTCCAGCTGTCCTGTGCCCTCTTCCTACAAGGCCATCTACAACCAAGTGTCCTTGGGAAGAATCTTGATGAGGGTTCACTTCCAAGGGTTATACAGTACATATGCATGAAAGTCATGTGGAGTGAAGCTGTTGGCTAATGGGTGAAGGAGAAAAAGAAAGAGCTCCCCAAGTTGGCAAAGTGGGCAGGCCTTGATCAGCAAGTGAGGCCAAGAGCTTGAAAACATGGGCACAAAAAGAGCTTTTAAGCTGTCCACCTTGCTTGGGACTTGACCTGTGTAATTTCAGCCATGTGCAAGTCAAATGCATATAACATGAGGGCTTACTGTATTTTTTATATAGCTATTATATGGAAGCAGAAATGTATTCTTGATTTTTTTTTTTTTTAAAATTGACCTTTTTACAGTCTGCACCTTAATAAAAGTTTATCAGGGTTAAATACGACATTACAGGAATACAATCAAATCAGTATAGAACTTCGGTAAAGACATTGCGGTTGGTTTAATAGGAACAGTCTAGTTTCCAGAAGCTGTCTGAAAGAAGGCAGGGGCGGTCCCTGCCCAACCTCTAATGGCAGGGAGTTCCACAGGACAGGGCCTGCCACACCTGTAGGCCAACTGAGTACAAGCCAAGCAAACTTCAGGTATGTGGGGCATCACCACAAGTGCCCCATCAGAGGATCTCAGTGGCTGACATAGAGCACAGGGGAATCAGTTGGTCCTGAAGGAACTTGTAAGCTGCTTTGAAGGTCAGGATAAAGTGATTTGGTTGGCCACTTTGAAAACAAAATGCTAGGCTGGGCGGCCTTTTGTCTTTGTATGCAGGGATTTTCTTACGTTAGCCAGGTTGCACTTGCGCCTTTGCGGCTGATGGGCCTTCAAAGAAATGAGTGATATTACATATTCTGACAGGGACGTGGGTGGCGCTGTGGTCTAAACCACTGAGCCTCTTGGGCTTGCTGATCAGAAGGTCGGCGGTTTGAATCCCCACAATGGGCTGAGCTCCCGTTGCTCGGTCCCAGCTCCTGCCAACCTAGCAGTTTGAAAGCATGCTAGTGTGAGTAGATAAATAGGTACCGCTCCGGTGGGAAGGTAAATGGCGTTTCCATGCGCTGCTCTGGTTTTGCCAGAAGCAGCTTAGTCATGCTGGCCACATGACCTGGCGAAACTGTCTGCGGACAAACGCCGGCTCCCTTGGCCTATAAAGCGAGATGAGCGCCACAACCCCAGAGTCATCTGCGACTGGACTTAACTGTCAGGGGTCCTTTACCTTTCACCTTTTTACATATTCTGTATATACAGCTGACAGGCAGCTGTATATAATGTAGGCTTTAGCAAGTTGAAATGGCTCGAGTTTGTTTTGAAAATGCATCAGTGTTACTCTTAAGGTTTTTTATTTAAGTGTAATACACAGTGATCAATATTTATCAGAAGCAAACCAGGCTAAACATATTACTTTAGGTCTGTTGTTGTGATGCCCCGCCAATAGAGTGGCCATTCAGGGTTCTCGCCACTGCTGAATATGCATTGGGGGGCATGTTTTTAAAATGCTAAAAAAAAATTATTTGAACCCAGTCACTGTCTAACTACATGTCTTGGTATTGTCAGTGATTTCCATGCAACACAGTCAGCTGATTTTTGGAATAACTGGGTCCAGGTTATTGACAGAAGAACATGTTCTGCCTGAGCTAAATGGAAAAGCAAAGGTGGTTTTCCATGAGACAATGTGGCCCACATACTGTTGCAGCATAACGTCTATCCTTAGCCCAGCTGCTGTGGCCTCATCTCATCTCTGCTCTACTGTACAGAACCAATGGCAATTTTATTACTGCAGTGCAATATTAACCACACCTTTATGGTCGGAGCAATTGATTCGTATTATGAGTGCATTTCTATTTGCCCACACCCATGTTTTCCAACGAGACCTCTTACTCATTCTCTGTGGGATTGATGAAGTGCCGCTCGCAATTTGAAACCAGCACTTTGGCAACATTATATATTATTTTCAGATTTTCAGAAGCAAAATATTGCAGAACACTTGAGTGAGAAAGCTTTGCTGGACTGCGATGCTTATCCCAGCTGTTATTGGCTGAGAAAATAATCCCAAGATATTGAAAAACACTTCGCTGTCTAGAGACATGTCCTTAAATACTCCATTTATGTATGTGGACTCTCCCCACCTCAAAAATAAAAATAAAAAACATCTGGATTATTTGACAGTTTAAGATCAGATATATCTGAATATTCAAAAAAGCACTATGTTTTTTAAAAAACTTATGTCCCAACTTCCTGCCTGACAACAGACCTTTAAAACAGCTTAGAACAAAATCTTATAGTTGCTTCCTTCTTGTTCGCATTTCTGAGAATCATCCATATATAAATCACCCATCTGGACTACAGGAAATATATATTGCCATGAAGTCACATCACACCATTATTATTATTATTATTTGTAAAGTTTATTTTTATTTTTATTTTCATTTTATAATGTGCTGTATATAAAACAGAACGATTATAACAAACAAAAATTAAAAGCAATAAAATAGGCACATGTAGAATGAGCAACTGTTAACTATGCTATAAGAAAGCATACCTGCCTGCCCTGGGCTCAGACAGAAAATTTGTGAGTCCCAGACCCTTTGCATCTTTGTTGCACTCCTCTTAGGAGCGACAGGAAACTGCAAATGCGTAAATGCAAAGCACCTGCCAATATCTTAAAATTCAGTTCAGTGGGACTGAATTTAAACAATTTTTGTAAAACAAAGCAAAATTTCAAAAGGAAACTTTACTTTATGATCCTATATCTCCTAATCAGAAGTGCATATTTTTGCTTTTCACTTTAAAAAAGAAAGCTTCTTTACTTAAGAGTGCAAAAATATCCGAGGCCAAAATAACACAACTAAACGCTGGCTTAATTTGCAAGACAGCGGAGCGTCTTGACCTCCACCAGTATCAAGATTAGATTGCTTTACACTTCATTTCCTCCATCTATTTAATGTGACCTTTTGAATATTTCTTGGCAATGACAGCAAACAGGAACATCATGCATAACATATCTCCTGCGCTAGATTCCGTTTCTGAAAGAAAGTTGGGAGGGCAAGGAACTCAGGTTGGGGCAAGCTCTGCCTCTGGGTTCTCAGGCTCAGTCCCTGAACCCACCGGCGGAGGAACTGGGGTGCGGGGGGGGGGGTGCACCGCCCCCGGCGGCACGATCCTGGTGGGGTGCCATCACGGTTGCCCCCCCCCCGCGCTGGGCGCTACGCCCCTGCAGGCAGCGTGCCACGCCCCCGGGACACATACCACACCCCCTGGGATGCGCGCCAGCCACGCGCCCCTGCTCTCTGCCCCCCGCCGGAGATTGAAGCTCTGCCAGTGCCTGCACCCCCTAGTTAGCCTTCAGCAGCCCTTGCCAATAGTTGACAGTAATTTCCTGCCTCCCAATATAATAAATAAATAAATAAATAACATTATATATATATATACCCTGCCCTTCCCGGTTCAGAAAACCAGGCTCAGGGCGGCTAACAACAAATTTAAAACACTTAATTGATGCAACAAAAAACAGTATAAAATACAGTATAAAACGTGAATACAATAAAATAAAAAATCAATTAGGGGGGAAATCCATCCAATAAACATTAGATGGCCATCAGGGCTAGCTGGCTAAGTTAGTCTTATTTGGGCCAGCAAGGAGACCAGGGGAGAATTAGCTGTGGGATCCCAGAGTGGGTAATCTTCATAAAAAGGGGAGGGGGAGGGAAGGAAGGGGAATAAAAGATCAGGCTAAGTTCAAATTGAAAGCCAGACGGAATAGCTCTGTCTTACAGGCCCTGTGGAAGGAAGTTAAATCCTGCAGAGCCCTAGTCTCATGGGACAAAGCATTCCACCAGGTGGGAGCCATCACTGAGAAGGCCCTGGTGAAGGATAATCTGACTTCCTTAGGGCCTGGGACCTATGAACCTGTCCTGCTTGGAAACATTACTGAGTGGATGCCATTTTCTTGGCAGTTTTTCGACAACCCCCTGCAAGACAGAATTTCCCTGCAAGACAGACAGAGTCCATCTGTACTGCACTTGGAATGTAGAATCTTTCTCCTTGTGTGATATTTCAGCGATAATTTTTCGTAGCCAGTGCTTTGGGGAATTAGTATGGCTTTCTTTTAAGGAATAGGCTGAAATGCTATAAATCTCGGTGAGGGGATCATTAACACCACCCACTTAAGGAAACCGAGCCTCTTGCATCCTTGTAAAAGCAGATGCTAATGACATTAAACACAAAACACAGATCGATAGCCAATAGTGTGAGTCTGAGCTATGGAGTCTTGGGCTGTTGTCCTTTTCATTAGAAAATATGCCGAGATATATATGGCTGCTGGATGCCACCTCAGCCTGTTGAATAAATGCTGAAGACAGACCCAGCTCTGTTGCTCCAGCTGACAAGCTAACGACACCTTTGCCCATCTGTGACTGATTGCTTCTCTTTGCGGTGACCTTTAAAGAGCCCAGCCAGCTTCATCAAGCCAAACCATACAGGGCTGACAGCCCTTAAATTGGGCTGGACTATTCAGCCTGAAGAGCGCGTTGCCTTCCCCTGCCATTTTGAATAGTTCCTCCCAGAATCTGGATTCTAAAAGTCACCCTTTTCGTCTAGAACAGTGATCTACCACAGGGCAAAACATGGCATGCAGGAGTTATTTCCACCCTCTATTCATGATTTCGTGTTTCAGTGGCTCCTGCACATCCCCGGTCTGCACTCCCATCTTCCATTTCACGATTATCATTTTGTTGGTTTTGTACCTGATTTTGCAAGGGACATGGGTGGCGCTGTGGTCTAAACCACAGAGCCTAGGACTTGCCAATCAGAAGGTCGGCAGTTTGAATCCCTGCGAGGGGGTGAGCTCCTGTTGCTCGGTCCCTGCTCCTGCCCACCTAGCAGTTTGAAAGCACGTCAAAGTGCAGGTAGATAAATAGGTACCGCTCCGGCGGGAAGGTAAACGGCGTTTCCGTGTGCTGCTGGCTCACCTGAAACAGCTTAGTCATGCTGGCCACATCACCTAGCAGCTGTCTGCGGATAAACGTCAGCTCCCTCGGCCTATAGAGCAAGACGAGCGTGCAACCCCAGAGTCGTTCGTGACTGGACCTAATGGTCAGGGGTCCCTTTACCTTTTTGCATGGCTCTAGGGCAGGCTTCCTCAACCTCGGCCTTCTGAGAGACTACAATTCCCATCATCTCTGACCACTGGTCCTGCTAGATAGGGATCGTGGGAATTGTAGGCCAAAAACATCTGGAGGGCTGAGGTTGAGGAAGCCTGTTCTAGGGGGACACTGTGTTCCCCCTTTCTAGCACCTGCTGATAAATATAAGGCAGGGCCCTATACCAGGGGTCAGTAAACCTTTTCAGCAGGGGGCCAGTCCACCGTCCCTCAGACCTTGTGGGGGACCAGACTATATTTTGAAGGGGAAAAAATGAACAAATTCCTATGCCCCACAAATAACCCAGAGATGCGTCTTAAATAAAAGGACACATTCTATTCATGTAAAAACACACTGACTCCGGAACTGTCAGCGGGCCGAATTTAGAAGGCAATTGGGCAGGATCCGGCCCCTGGGCCTTAGTTTGCCTACCCATGCAAAAGGGACACTTGCAAGCTGAGCGACAGGTGGAGCCTAGGTCACACATTGGACTAGTTGCATACTTCTCATTGATGGACCAGAAATGTACCCTTCGCCTAGCCGCTCCCAGGAGTGTCTGCATAGCACTGCATGAAAATATCCTTAAGCAATTGTATCCTTCCGATTTTATTATTTAAAACAGCTGTGTATTTTGTTAAGAATTTCCATTTAATTATTTTTAAAACTTCTTTTGAAGTGGCATGAAATTCTAATAGCTAGAAGCCCCTTTCAGTTCTTTGGAGAGTTATTTGAGCATTCTTGGGACTAATTTTGTCAACAAAAACTGAGAGAAGCACTAAAGAAGCAAAGTACTTTGTGGGAAACCCACTTTGTGTAATGTGTGAAATGCTCTGGTGTGGAAAATATTTTACTTCTCTAGTAGGTCTGAAGGGAGCATCTTTTGTGCCTCGTGTGACCTGCACATTTTGCCCAAGAGAAACGCAGAAGTGGAAAGCTTCACCTCATCCATAAGCAACTTGCTTATATAATTGAGGGCTGTAGCTGAGGGCCAGCAGGTTTCTTCATACTCCGTTTCATTTTTGTTCCATGTATGGGTTTTAATCTGCATTCCAGTCTAGCCTTCTTCTGAAATATGGAGAATTTCTAATGTTAGTCGTGATATTGGCCCTACACAATTTGTTTCAACTTTCCTTCCTTCTTTTCATTGGAAGCTTTTCCTCAGTTCTGTGCACACTGATTCCTAGTCTGATTGAGTGCTCTTTTTAAAAAAATCCTTCCTGAGCCTCAGAGAATACTGCAAGTTTTAGGCAAAGCATTTATCACAGCAAGCAAACACCTCTACAGTTACAGAACTTCTCTGCACTTAATCTTGGTCTCAGTTGCTTGTTGTTCATACCCTCCAACATTCATACCCTATTTTTCTAGAAAAAGAGGTGCCGGAACTCACCATCAACGGCTCCCTTGGTCTCTTATAATG